GTACTGATTTTATCAGTACAGTACTCATTTGTACTGATTTTATTCACTTCTTCAAGGCTGACATTGTTTTGTCGAGTGTTGCTAGTTAACTCGAAAATAATTTTCATTTTAATAATAACAAATTTGAATATTCTAATTTCTTTTGCCTATAGCTTACAATTATTTTGTCTCAATTTATTGACATTGGCCGCGTTTATAAGACGTAGCTGTTGCCCAACCGTTGGCTATTTGTCTTAGAAATGCACAGTTGAGTAGTTCCGCTCAGCTCAACAGTTGGCAACTTTCCGCCATTTTTTCCAGCGGAAAATGTTTACGCTACCTGAACTCAACGTGTTGGGCTTAGCCTAAACAGCTGATCGAAAAGACTTACGCCGCTTATATTAAATTTAACGCCGCATCGTTTGGTGGCAGTTGCAACCAAATTTATTATATTTTATATTACTAATGTGATAAAATAACTAGAATATTTTATAATAATACTAAGTTTCTAAATACATGTTTTTAAGATGTTTCCTATATAATTTTACACTGTTTAATTCATTGTACATTGAACGATTTTTTCAAAACGGCGGCAGCTCAGCGTTGAATTATAAGTACTAGATAGAGGAGTTACATACCTATATAAAAAATCGCATCTGAACAATCAGAGGCATGGAAGATATACCTTATATTAGCACCAATCTAAGTGATTATCACTGCTATGTGATCGGTATGTAAACCGGTAACACAATTTATTGGGTTTAGTTTCCTACATAAAGGAGATATCTCGCAAAACCTGGTATCTGAACAATCAGTGCTATAGGAGATAAAGCTTATACAGCATAGATTTTGACGATTTTCTCAGTAGACTTTGTATTATTATTTATAAAATATCTACGAAATTTATCGGTTTTAGCTGTTCAAATAAAGGAGTTTTACAGTAAAATCCCATATCTGAACAATCAGATGTATGGAAGATACAAATATGTTATATATGTTGTAAGTATTCTGTTAATAATGAGTGAAAATGATGCGAAATTTCATGTTCCTAGCAGCATAAATGGAGGATTTATGATAAAAGACCTCATATCTGAACAATCAGTTGTATGGGGGCTACAGGTTATAGTGACCCGATCTTTGTAATTTTTACTGTAAGTCTTCTGTTGATAATGAGTGAAAACAGCGCGAAATTTCATGGTCCTAGCTACATAAATGGAGGAGTTATAACGAAAAATCTCATATCTGAACAATCAGTTGTATGGGAGCTGTAGGTTATAGTTACCCCATCTTTTTAATTTTCACTGTAAGTTTTCTGTTGGTAATTATTGAAAACAGTGCGGAATTTCATGTTCCTAGCTATATAATGGAGGAGTTATAACGAAAAATTGTATATCTGAACAATCAGTTGTATGGGAGCTATAGGTTATAGTGACCCGATCTTTGTAATTTTCATAATGGGTGCAAGTACTGCAAAATTTCATGTTCCTAGCTGCATAAATGGAAAAGTTATAACGAAAAATCTCATATCAACAATCAGTTAGCTATATTTTATAGTGGTCCGATTTATCCGGTTCCGACAAATGATTAATACATTATAAAAATACACCCACCTCCCAAATTTTATCCGGATATCTCGAAAACTGAGAGACTAGATTGCATACAAAGAGACGGACATGGCTAAATCGACTCAGCTCGACGTTCTGGTCATATAAATATACATTTTAATGGGTCTATCTCTTTTTATTTTGGTACTTACAAACATCGGACCAAAGTTATAATACAATTTCATGCTCATGAAAGGTATAACAAGTACTCTGGCGTTTTTAAGTATTATATGCAGGGTTTAAAAATGTTGTAATTTTTTTAATTTAATTTGCTTTTGCTGTGATTTGACTTCGGGATTTATGATAAAGCAAAGCAACAGCGATTCAGAAAAAAAGCAAATGCTTTGGCTGCCATTTTGCTGTGAAATTTCTAAGGCAATCAGACAGTTCAAAAGTAATTTGTGGAAGCACAACGACAGGGAAGCAACACAAAGCAATAGAAATTTGACTATAACTTAGAAGATGTTATATGTATGCAGTGCTACTGGTGACAAGACACGAGCATAAGATAAAGATTGCATACATTACTGACTGTACGGCAACTCGCTAGCGAAAGGTCATGCCACGTGTAGCGCTCGGAAGGTTCCAATGACATCGCCATGTTAAATTCGTTAGGCAAAGGAAGGCAAATGGTATCGCAAATTTTGTGGCTAGTACTCACTTCTGGCGAGTCAGCTAAATCATATACATGTTATGTATGTAACGGGTGATTTTTTTGAGGTTAGGATTTTCATGCATTAGTATTTGACAGATCACGTGGGATTTCAGACATGGTGTCAAAGAGAAAGATGCTCAGTATGCTTTGACATTTCATCATGAATAGACTTACTAACGAGCAACGCTTGCAAATCATTGAATTTTATTACCAAAATCAGTGTTCGGTTCGAAATGTGTTTCGCGCGTCCGATTTATGGTCTACATAATCGACCAAGTGAGCAAACAATTAATGCGATTGTGACCAAGTTTCGCACTCAGTTTACTTTATTGGACATTTATTGGACATTGGACGAATGCGTACAGTGCGTACAGAAGAGAATATTGCGTCTGTTTCTGAGAGTGTTGCTGAAGACCGTGAAATGTCGATTCGTCGCCGTTCGCAGCAATTGGGTTTGCGAAACACATTTCGAACCGAACACTGATTTTGGTAATAAAATTCAATGATTTGCAAGCGTTGCTTGTTAGTAAGTCTATTCATGATGAAATGTCAAAGCATACTGAGCATCTTTCTCTTTGACACCATGTCTGAAATCCCACGTGATCTGTCAAATACTAATGCATGAAAATCCTAACCTCAAAAAAATCACCCGTTACATATGTAGATACACTCCATGCTGCAAAGCTTCATGTGCACATCACAGTCAAGCAGATCACAGCACAGCAAAAGACAATCACAGTAAACCGAAAGCAATACATTTTTTTCAATAAACTGCCGATAAAAAGAATACAATTTTCAAAATCACAGCAAAAGCGAAGCCGTTCGAATGAAAATCAAAAATTTCAAAGCGAAGCAAAAGAAAAAATAAAAACTTTTGCTGCTGTGCTGACAGTTTTTCAAACCCTTATTATATGTTACATTCATAATTTTGCTTTGAATAAAAATGTACTGAAAAGTACTGATTTTTTTAGAATGAAAAAGTCTAACGTACTGATTTCGCGCATAAAAAATCTGGCAACCCTACTGATGTCAAATGCGAAGTTAAATTTTTACAAAACGTATAGAATACCGACCTTTTAGCTACAGACTAACAAAACTGTAACTGGATAGAACTCTTCATGCTGATTTCAACCTTACCAAAATTATTTAACGCAAGTAAAAAATTAAGAAGATATAGGAGGTTAAGTTAAATTTTTCGATATTTTGAAATATCAATATCTTATGAACTACATAACCGATTAAACAACTAATGATGTCAAAATAAAGATGATTGGCTTATCTTTCAGTCGATGTACATAATTTTTATTATTTTTTATATTCTTAAGTCAAATATACTAAAAAACAAAAAAAATGAAATTTTTCATAAAATTACCTTTTTTGAAGAAAATTGCATAATTAATGCTACATAAATTTATATTATTTAGAAAGTACAAGTTATTGTTTTATATAGAAAGGTTTTTTATAAGGCAAAATTTAACAAAAGTAGCGGTAAAAATCGAAATTGTATATACATATTTTTTTAAATGGCATTTACCTACAATTTGGTTTAAAAATGGTTATATGTAGTAAATACTTCGTAAAAAAGGTAATAAAATTATCTTTGAATTGGCATCAATACTTTTTTAATCGGTCAAGTAGTTTCCGAGCTATTAAACATAAAAAGAAATAGGAAACTTGAAGTTTAGCCTGTTATATTTTCTTCATCAGCGTTGAAAGTTCAATCGATCTGCAACATGTTGGCAAATACATTTCGGTTGTCAAATGCTGCCACATCAGCGACGAGTGCCGTTTCCACTTGGCTGTCGTTTTATATGACCGTGCGTGGTGATATATGACAACATACGCAAATGCCACCAGAAGGCGACCCGTTTTCATTATTGTAACAACATTTGACTTCAAATATGACCTAATGAAAACAAGGCGACTTCACAATCGATTTTGTTTAACTTCCAGATCAGCAAAAAATTTAGTAGTCACTTTGAAGTTTTGGTATGCCATAAAATTTAATTATTATCTCCAAGATATACAAAATCGTTATCTTATACCATGTTCGGACCGCGAACGAAAACGTTTTGAAAACGAGTTTTGGGATTGTGGGCTGAAAGCTATTCGAACCGGCAGTTAATGTTTTCGATGACGTCTCTTTCATCCTTTGTTTACAGTTTTGCTACGAAAAACAAAAATCAAAATATTTGTCTATAATTTTATTATCATTAGCAACCTTTTTCTCTTGTTCATATTTTAATTTGGCCAGCCAATTGACAATAAATCCCAACTAGCGTATTAAAGATGATAAAATATGACTTCCAATTCGATAAATAAATGAGTGGAACGTGAGTTTTCAAGTGGTTTTCAGCGAAAACTGGTATTCGTTTGACAGATTTTACATGGACGAAAACACAAGTTTTAGACCGAAAACCAGTTATAGCAACGAAAACACGTTTTTGATGTCGGTCCGAACATGGTATTACACTGCTGGTGAATGTAAAAATCGAATTTTCGGTTTTCGGTTTAAAAAGAAAAAAACGATTAATACCTAAATTAAAAAAAAAAATATTAAGAAAGGTAATTAGCCAAATTTAAAACAACCAGTTTTTAGAAACACCGATCTTTTTTGAAAATCCCTACTGCAGTTAGTGTTAACCAAACAATAAGTAACCAGCCCTAAATGTTATTATCATAGCAATCGATTTTTTTCAATATCAACAACTAAATTTCCAAAATATTAATTTATATTATGTATTGTGTATATGTATTTGCAGAATGAAACTTTGGGCTGGATTTGTTGCGCTCCTTGCATTTGGTTACGCACGTCTACAACAGTTCACAAAATCGCGATAACGGCAGCAACTTTCTTGGTAACTTCTTTGTTGGTAGCGTCCCCGATTTTATTTTTAATAAGTACTGCTCCTTCGCGTCTTCCAAGGGAATGTTTTTCTACTGATGATGAATGTAATCCCACACCGTCTCCAACGCCAGAATGTTCAGAAACTATTTGTAAACTCGTTTCTACAAATATTCAAGCTAAAGTTAATTGGAATTTGGATCCTTGTTCAGATTTTAAAAACTTTTGCTGCTCACACAATCTTCGTAGTGAAAGTACATTAGCATTGCAAAGCATTCAAGGAGCTGTTGATATTCAGATGCAAAGTACGTATACAAAACATTAAGCAATAACGAAATTTGTATATCGTCACCTCAGTGGAAGATCGACCTATCTCGGCAGCCAGTTCGAAAACACCCTATCTCAGATACTTTTTAAGATCACCCTGCTTCAGAATTTTATTGAAGAGCACCCTGTTTCAGAATTTTATTGAAAAACGCCTTATCTCAGAATTAGATAGGGATTTTTTAATCGGCCGCTGATATGGGGCGTTCTTCAACCAAATTATTAGATAAAGCGTTTTTCAATCAAATTCGGAAGTAGGGCGTTCTTGAAAAGTTTTCTGAGATAGGGCGTTTTCGAACTGGCTGCCGAGATAGGTCGACGGATCCAATATAACGTCTGGTCATGAGAAAAATCTTAAGGATTTGTTCCGTTGCAAAACTTTTTAATCATCAGTAAATTTATTAATTATAAATAAATGTGCGAAAACATCAAACAAATTTCAAATAAAGTTAAAGTTAAAGTTGCTAAGTCCACAATTTGTGAAACCTCATGATATAGGAAGCAAGAGAAATTAGGGATTAAGGTACTTGCTTTATTTTTTCTCATTTATATTCAATAGAAGGCAAATTTTCTAAGTCCAGAAGAGGCCCCGAAAATCCGATAAGGCCAAAATAATACGAAATCTTTTAATAAAGATCGAATCCTTTTGGAGTTTTGCTTTGCTTTAAACACGCAAAATGTTGTATTCAAAGTTCCTGTAAAATTTGTAAAAATGGACTTAGCAACTTTTCAGTCAGCGATATGTTAAATGCAAATATAGAAACATATAATCACTTTTATTAAACTTTGTATAACTTACATTATATATATTTTTTTTAATTACGTGAGCAAATTTTTGTTCATAAAAGAACGCAACAGTTTGAATTCATTTAGAACGGGAACATACCTTTTTGTCAAAAGCCTATAAAGCGCTTTCAAATAAAACATTTACCTATTTGAAACTTTGAGGCGCTTAAAGCAAGTGAAGCAAAGCTGCCATTTGGCCAGCCTTCATACGTTTTAGTATATTCCAAATAGCTTCTGACAGTTCTCAAAGCGAGGCAAGCAAAGCAAGCCTGCATTGGGCCAATACCTTAAGAAGGGAGATATAGTATAGTAAAAAAGAAAGAAAGCGACGTATGCACAGCTATACAAACTTGTGGGCAAAATTCCCAACTTGATTGCGGATCGATCTGAACTAACTGTCGCGACGTTTACTTCCTGCCTCCATTAGCGATTGTTCATCTGCTGCGATACATCTCCGACGATGAATCGCTTGTGGAGACCGCTCATAGCAATCGCAGGAGATCGATAGCATGAGATAACGCTTGCGAGCTATCGCAGGCGTTGAACTGTCAAATAATTAGTTTGACAGCTTGCTTTAACTATAAATTTTTATAAAGATTTGTTTTTCAATAAAATATTTGACATTTTTGTGAATACAGTAATTTTCGTCATGTGAAATGTACTCGTAAGCACTTTTTGAAATGCTCAAGTACAAAAATTTCTCTGCGACGAGCATCTCGCTTACGATGAAACTGACAGATCTCCAGAAATCTCTGTACCCTATAGTGTTGGAAAACTATCAATAGTGTATACATTCGATAGTTTGGATAGTGACCCTGCAAGAAGCCTGACCTATGATTATCGGTTAAATTAGTGGGAAATAAAATGTCAGTTTAGCGGTTAGTTTTGTATGTGCTTGGGGAAAAAGTGACCACTTCTACGGGCGTGTAAAAGTGCATCCCTTTCTTGCACACACATGGGCGCATTTGCTTTACAGTATGTTCACTCGTCATCTAGTCGGTCATGTACAAGTGAGTTTAGCGATGAAACTATTGGGAAAATATCATGATAATTAGTGATTTTTCTGACCACTATTCTAACTTCTAAATAATTGATAAATAAGTGAGTAGATGGCAGCGAAATATCCAAAAACACATGAAAACAAATTATAAAATACAACTTGAATGTTTTTTTTTAATTTATTTGTAAAAATATATTGTCGAATATTAAATTAATTTCGCGAGCTTTTTCAGAGCAGCTGAGCTCAGACAATTCTTATAATTTTTCATAGGAGTCTGAATTTCCGCAGCGCCGTGTGGTCCTTCCGCTCCCATTCCTAGGTTCTGCTGGAGTCCCAGCACTGAGTCACTGCCTCCACAGTCGGCCTTAGCGAATTCCGCAAGTTTTTTGGTATGTCCCCACACTGGCCTCAAATTCTTTTCTCTCCATCCACATAAAGTTAGAAAACATTTTTTGTTAATTTTTTTATATATGCAAATTAAATACACTGAGTTTTATTAATTCTTTCTTTTGAATTTGCCGAATTTTTTTATATTTTGCACCACAGCTAACAATGAATAAAAGTTTCTTTGATGCACATATTTATGTATGTATGTGAATGTACTATCGATAGTTTATTTTCGATATAGTCAGGCATTTTTTGCAGGGGATAGTGCAAAATATTCCATACTATCTATACTATCGAAATCTTTCTTATATAAGTATGTTTAGATATAACACTGATTCCCGTTTTCACCAATCAATTTTAAAAATTAGTAACATTAAAATTAAAAAAAGTGTAATTTTAAATTATAACGGCTTAATAAATTTAAAATTGATTGGCGAAACTGGGTATAATATTTTGTAAATAGGCAAATTATAACAGATCCCATCTGTAAATTTGTTTGTTTCTTCTTTTACTAAATATATCATATAACACCAGCCAGAAAGAGATCTTGTTCTTAAATAACCCATTTCGTAACTAGAATAACCTTAAATATTATTTGTATAAACAAAAAGTTGACAATATGAAGGGTCTCGTGTTTACAAACAAAAGAGTTGGCAACGTATATGTATCCTTAATAGTCCATATATACCATGGCGCAATAAACAGGTGAAGTAATAAGGCAGCATTCTCTGTTCATTTTCTGACATTCGGCTGCCTCCTATTTCAAAATGTTGCCTTTATTCGTTGAACGTTTTATATGTTGCGTCTTTGGAAGTATTAACATATATTTCTGGGGCAATTTAGCCATTTATTATTTGCTTGCAACATTGTTTTTTCCAAAATTTTTAGTTTGAATTTTTGTGGAAAATTAGTTTTTTTTTAACTTTCTGTTTGAATTTTTGTGGAAAAATACTATATAATTTGTAGCAAAACGTGGACTTACGAAGGCGTCCGTTTATTCCAATCACCAGCGGAGCAGGTTAGGCTGAATAACTTGGATATTTCAAATATTTAATGGCAAAGTAATTTCTGGCACCACCAAGTTCTCCGAAAAATTATTATCCCACATCCATGAAATAGACCTTCCAATAAATGTGAAAAAGCTATTTTTTTAGTGCAGGATGCATTTCCGTATAAATTATTTAAAGAAGCGCTTGAAAGGCAAAAGCTATAATCGATTAAGCTTTAGAAACCTCCCATATATACCAATTTAAATTTATTTATTTAAGCCTTATAACCATTAGAATGACGTGGTGTGATTTGCATTCACGTTGCTGATTTCATATATCTAATTTCATCTCTTCATAAAATTATCAAGATTTGTCTATACATCCGTCGGTGAGTCCTTGGAAGTATTCTTTGTGAAAAATTTTTATACCCGAGCGCACTTGTGCACAAGGGTATATTAATTTTGTTCACATAACGGTTGTTTGTAAAAGCCAAAACGAATCGAGATAGATATAGACAAATGTATACATAAACAAGTAAGAAAGTCTAAGTTCGGGCGGAGCCGAACATTAAATACCCGGCGCAAGTATTAAATATATGTTTCTTCACCTTTCCGAAACCTACCGCTAGATGGTAAGCCGGGGCGTATCAATTTTGAGTAAATTGGCGTCCTTCAATTTCGAAATATTGAAGTTTCAAGCATTTCTGAAATTTACCGTTATATGAAAAGCGGCCGTAATTTTAGTCCGACTTCAATAATTTTCAACGCTTTGCTTTCATGTGGCAAGCACAATAACCACACCGAGTTTGGTACAAATTGGTAGAACGGTTACCGATATACATATATGTGATCATAAGTGGGCGGTGCCCCGCCCATTTTCCAAAATTGTACCATAAAAGTATTTCTTGGTAAAGAATTTTTGCAAGCATCAATTTTGAATAAATTAGCTTCAATATTTACTGATTTATCGAAGATTTTGTATTTCTCTAAATTACCGTTATATGGGATGTGGGCGTGGTTATTGTCCGAATTAAAAGATTTTCGGCCATTTGGTATGGTGTACCAAGGCCAACAACTGTGCCAAGTTTGGAAGAAATTGGTTATACACATGTAACCATAAGTGGGCGTGGCTACGCCCATTTTCCAAAAATTTATAATATTCTTATTTTTCGTCTAAAAATTGCTGTAAATATCAATTTTAAGTGAATAATCTTCAGTAGTTACTAAAATATCGCAGTTTTCATATTTCCGAAAATTGCCGTTATATGGGATGTGGGGGTGGTTATTGTCCGATTTTAAACATTTTCGGCCATTTGGTATGCTGTGCGAAGGCCAACAACTGTGCCAAGTTTGGAAGGAATTGGTGTAGCGGTTCCTAAGATATACACATGTAACCATAAGTGGGCGTGGCTACGCCCATTTTCCAAAAATGTATAATATTCTTATTTTATTAATTTTGTTCACATAACGGTTGGTTGTAACAGCCAAAACGAATCGAGATAGATATAGACAAATGTATACATAAATGATCAGGATGAAAAAAGAAATCGATTAAGCCATGTCTGTCTGTCCGTTGTCTGTCCGTCCGTGTACACGATAACTCGAGCAAAAATTTAGATATCTCAACGACATTTGATATGTAGGTTTCCCTTAATCCAAGGTAGGTTGGTATTGAAAATGGGCGAAATCGGACTGTAACCACGCCCACTTCCCATATAACGGTAATTTCCAGAAATACGAAAACTGCGATATTTTAGTAACTACTGAAGATAATTCACTCAAAATTGATATTTACAATAATTTTTAGAGGAAAAATAAGA